TTATATATATTTTAAATATTTTTTATGAATTTTTTTCTTTCTTAGGTTTTCAAAATTTATTTTTTTCAAAAAAAAGATATGTTATTCTTTCTAAAAATTAGCTTTATTTATAATTTTATTAAGATATGAATTAAATAGGTATTTCACTAGAGTTAATTAGGAGGAAAAAATGAAGAAAAAATGAAGAAAAAATATGAAATAATAAGATTAATTAATAATTAATAAAATTAACAAAGAATGAAAAAATAAGAAATCATAATAAAAAGAAAAAGGAAAAGAAATCAAATAAATTAAAAGAACTATAATGTTTTAAATTAACTTTTATAATTAAAAATATTACAATGTAAAACAAATAAATAGCTCTTAATAAGTGTAAGTTTTGATAAAAAAAATGAAGAAAAAATATCAAATAATAAAAAATGAATAATAAATAATTAATTAAAAATTGAAATGAAAATTAAGTTAAAATAACTAAAAAATTTTAGTTTTAACAAAAATCAATAAATAATGATGATAATTATTTTTATAAAAATTATTTATTTAAATAAATTGAAAATTAAATATACTAAAAATATCAATAATAATAAAAATAATATTTTTTAATTAAATATACTTCAGATTAATATGGAGAACTTAATGAGATAAAAGAGAAGAGCTTTTAAACTTTTTTTATTAATTTATATAAATTTAAAGGATATTAATAAAAAAATTAATAATTACTTCTTCTAATTCGTAATATTTTTTAATCTATTATATCATTTATTTTTTTTTCAAAAATATTGAATAACAATTTATGAAATTTAATTAATTAATTAATTAATTATAGATGGATAAAAAGAACAAATAAATATAATAATTAATTAATTATAAAATATTAATTTATATATTTGGTTTTATGAAGAGATATCACAGAAAAATTAATTTAAAATTCACTATTTAAACTTAATATTTATATTTAAAACATATACTTAAAAATAAATATAGTAGGAATTAGAGATGGTCAGTTATTTATTTACTCACCTTTTTTCTACTCACAATAATCTGTTTTTATGGTTAGACTCATTTTTATATTAATATTTAAAAAAATAATTTTAATTGTATATTATTTACTTTAATTATCAATATATATTTATATTATTATATCAGTATATTCTACTGAAAAAAAATTGTTAAATATTTTTTTATTTTAATTTTTATTTCACTATTTAAACAGTAAAAAAGGACAAAATTTCTTTCTCATTTTAAAAAAATATTAACATATATATTTAACTTTTAAATTCTAAATTTTTATATCCTGAATAAAATTTAACATTTATATTTAAAATAATAAAATATCAGTAAATGGTATTAGGAATCTAATCTAATTTTGGATTATAAAATATAATAGCAAAGCAAAAGAATAATTTATTTCATAGTTCATATAATTAATGGAACTTATTAATAAAATTTCTCATAATTTATATTTTAAAACAAGAAAAAATGTATGACTATAAACAGGAATTAGCATTTTTCTACTTTCTAAACCAAAATTATTTATTTATTTTTCTTAATAATTTCATAACTAAAATTAAACTATGGCCAATAAATTAGTATATTTGCTTTTAAATATAAAATATAAATAAACAAAATAGTCTTGAAAGTTATAATATTGATAATAGAATTAGCGAATATTAGATAAAATATTCTTTAAACATTTTTATTCTCAGTAAGAATTCCATTTCATTTAAAATAACCTGCGGTAAATAGTAAATAATCCAATCAAAAAGTTTTTTCTTATCCTTTAAAATTTTATTGATAGAATCTACTTTTAATAAGGCACCATTCCATGCTACTAAATAGAATATTTGAATATAAAGAACTCAATAACTTACTAATGAAATATACAAAAAAATATTAGTTTACACATTTATCATAAAAAGTTTGATATATTTATATAATTAGTTGTTTTTACATAAAATATAGCTATGAAACGTTCTATCCACTGATTACAGTTCGTATTGTTAGAAAAGGTTTTCTTACGATAATAATAGATATCTATTTTCGTCAAATTAAATTTTTCTTCTTACTAAGATTAAATATATATCTGATTATTCACTAAATATAGATAGATTTGTTTATGGAAATTTATGTACATATTTTTATAATAATTAATCATTTTCTTAAAATAATCAAAAATTTGAATGCCACTAATAACTTTTAAAAGTAAATATGAATGAAAAATATATACTAATATTTTAAATTTTTGATAGTAAATGAGGAGGGAAAATCAAAAAGAATATTAAATATATCAAATTAAATTAAAAAAATTAGAGAACATTTTATATTAAAAAATAAGATAAGTATTTTAAAATTTATAATACTACATTAAAAAAAAAATTACATAAATTCTTGATATGAAATAATATAAGCTTATAAAAGCCAAATTCAGCATTAACGACTTTTAAATTAATTAATTTACTCTAAATATTCTTAAATAAAAAAATCAAAATTGAATTGTCTGAATGAATAAATGATAATTTAAAAAAACAATTATTTTATGATTTTAAAAAATATAAAATGAAAAAAATGATCATAAGATAAATTAAAAATTTGAGAAAAAAAAAAAAACATTAAAACCACTAAAGTTAAAATAAAAATTAAAACTTGATTTCTCCCTGAGGTTTTATTTAAATCATGGCATCTAATTAATCTTGATAAATAAAAAAAGGATAGAAATATGATTGATGGATAATATTTAATATTAAAATATAACTGGCATATAAAAGTTTGGCATTTAATAAAATGTAATATAACACTAAAAATTTCAAATTATTTGATCATTTTGGAGAAACCAGAGGGTTTGCTTTTGAAGATTTAATTTATTTAAGTAAATTTAATTTTTTTATTTTTTATAAATAATTTATTTACTTACAAAAATATGAATGATATTTATAAATATAAAATCAATAATAAAATCTATCAATCTATCCATTTATATTTTAGGTCAAAAACACTTTTTCAAAATATTATATAATAAAATAAAAAATACTATTCAAACATTTTATATTTATTCATCCTTTTTTCACCAGTTGTTTATCATGAGAAATCAAAGACAACTAATCTTTTTGATTTAAGAAACTTGCTTAATACTTTGAACTTTTATGATTTATTCATTGAGCTAAAACTTTTATAATAAATTTGTGTAAATTTTAAAATAAATATCAAAATAGAATAAACTTTTAAATTTAAAATTATTCTTTAAATTAATAAATAAATAATATTAGTGGAATAAAAAAGATAAAAAAATAAAATAAATAAAGCTATCAAATAAATTCAAAAAGCTTTTTTGTTTTATATTCATTTTTATAGTTTAAACAATCAAAATCCAAAACAAATAAACTGTTTTTACCAAAGGTAAAGTCTCAAATTTGAGAGATTTATGCAATTTGCTAAAGCAGATACTAAGCCTGATACACCAATTGCACCAATTTAATTATTACTTTTTTAAATATAGAAGAAAAAATATATCATTAAATAATTAATTAGAAGGAAAAAATGAAGAAAAAATATGAAATAAATAATAAAAGCAAAAGTTAAAAATAAAATGATGAGCTAAATTAATAAAAAAATAACAAAAAAAAGCAAGCACAATAAAAAGAAAAAAAAGCTTTATTGTTTTTATAATTAAAAATATCACAATCCAAAACAAATAAACTGTTTTTACCTAAGGTCAAGTGTCAAATTTGAGAGATTAATGCAATTTGCTAAAGCAGAACCTAAGCCTGATGCACCTTCATCATCAATTTCACTAAAACTTTTGAAATATTGAAGAAAAAATATATCATTAAATAGTTAATTAGAAGTAAAAAATGAAGAAAAAATATGAAATAATAAGAAATAAATAATAAAGGCAAAAGTTGAAAATAAAATGATGAGCTAAATTAACAAACAAAGAACAAAAAAAAAGCAAGTACAATAAAAAGAAAAAGAAAAAAGAGCTTAATTGTTTTTAACTAGTTTTTATAATTTAAAATATCACAATCCAAAACAAATAAACTGTTTTTACATAAGGTCAAGTGTCAAATTTGAGAGATTAATGCAATTTGCTAAAGCAGAACCTAAGCCTGATGCACCAATTGCATCAATTTAATTAGACCTTTTTAAATATTGAAGAAAAAATATATCATTAAATAGTTAATTAGTAGGAAAAAATGAAGAAAAAATATGAAATAATAAGAAATAAATAATAAAAGCAAAAGTTGAAAATAAAATGATGAGTTAAATTAATAAAGAAAGAACAAAAAAAAGCAAGCATAATAAAAAGAAAAAGAAAAAAGAGCTTAATTGTTTTTAATTAGTTTTGATAATTTAAAATATCACAATCCAAAACAAATAAACTATTTTTACCGAAGTTAAAGTGTCAAATTAGAGAGATTAATGCAATTTGCTAAAGCAGAACCTAAGCCTGATGCACCAATTGCGCCAATTTAATTGTTACTTGTTAAATATTGAATAAAAAATAATATTATTAAATAGTTAATGAGAAGGAAAAAATGAAGAAAAAATATGAAATAAATAATAAAAGCAAAAGTTGAAAATAAAATGATGAGTTAAATTAATAAAGAAAGAACAAAAAAAAAGCAAGCACAATAAAAAGAAAAAGAAAAAAGAGCTTAATTGTTTTTAACTAGTTTTTATAATTTAAAATATCATAATCCAAAACAAATAAACTGTTTTTACCTAAGGTCAAGTGTCAAATTTGAGAGATTAATGCAATTTGCTAAAGCAGTACCTAAGCCTGATGCACCTTCATCATCAATTTCACTAAAACTTTTGAAATATTGAAGAAAAAATATATCAATAAATAGTTAATTAGAAGTAAAAAATGAAGAAAAAATATGAAATAATAAGAAATAAATAATAAAGGCAAAAGTTGAAAATAAAATGATGAGCTAAATTAACAAAGAAAGAACAAAAAAAAGCAAGCATAATAAAAAGAAAAAGAAAAAAGAGCTTAATTGTTTTTAATTAGTTTTGATAATTTAAAATATCACAATCCAAAACAAATAAACTGTTTTTACCTAAGGTCAAGTATCAAATTTGAGAGATTTATGCAATTTGCTAAAGCAGAACCTAAGCCTGATGCACCAATTGCACCAATGTAATTGTTACTTGTTAAATATTGAAGAAAAAATAATATTATTAAATAATTAATTAGAAGGAAAAAATGAAGAAAAAATATGAAATAAATAATAAAAGCAAAAGTTAAAAATAAAATGATGAGCTAAATTAACAAAAAAATAACAAAAAAAAGCAAGCACAATAAAAAGAAAAAAAGCTTTATTGTTTTTATAATTAAAAATATCACAATCCAAAACAAATAAACTGTTTTTACCTAAGGTCAAGTGTCAAATTTGAGAGATTAATGCAATTTGCTAAAGCAGTACCTAAGCCTGATGCACCTTCATCATCAATTTCACTAAAACTTTTGAAATATTGAAGAAAAAATATATCAATAAATAGTTAATTAGAAGGAAAAAATGAAGAAAAAATATGAAATAATAAGAAATAAATAATAAAAGCAAAAGTTGAAAATAAAATAATGAGCTAAATTAACAAAGAAAGAACAAAAAAAAAGCAAGCACAATAAAAAGAAAAAAAAAAAAGAGCTTTATTGTTTTTAATTAGTTTTTATAATTTAAAATATCACAATCCAAAACAAATAAACTGTTTTTACCTAAGGTCAAGTGTCAAATTTGAGAGATTAATGCAATTTGCTAAAGCAGAACCTAAGCCTGATGCACCAATTGCATCAATTTAATTAGACCTTTTTAAATATTGAAGAAAAAATATATCATTAAATAGTTAATTAGAAGGAATTAATGAAGAAAAAATATGAAAAAATAAGAAATAAATAATAAAAGCAAAAGTTGAAAATAAAATGATGAGCTAAATTAACAAAGAAAGAACAAAAAAAAGCAAGCACAATAAAAAGAAAAAGAAAAAAGAGCTTTATTGTTTTTAATTAGTTTTTATAATTAAAAATATCACAATCCAAAACAAATAAACTGTTTTTACCTAAGGCCAAATATTATTTTAGGTAAAATTATCAGATTACAAAAAATAAAAAAATAAAGCATATCTTATTATATAAAATATAATATTCAAATATATTTAGATTTATTTGTTTTTTTTTCAATACCAATATGTTATTTATAAGGTAATTAATCTTTTTGATTTGAGGTACTTAGCTTTCAATTAGTTTGATTACTAGACTATGTTACGACTTTTAATATAAATTAGTGTAAATTACTCAAAAAAAAAATAAATTGGATAAAATATTTTATTTTTTATAAATAAAAAAATTACATTAAAAATAATATAAATATAAAGTCAATAAATAAATAAATAAATAAAATAAAAAAAGGTAGTTATATTTTCTTTAATTCATTATAATATTAAAAAATATCATAATCCAAAACAAATAAACTGTTTTTACCATAGATGAAGTTTCAAATTTTTGAGATTAGTGCACCTTCTTAAGCAAGATCCTAAGTATGATACGCCTTAAGTATCAATTTTGTTTTAGCTTTTTAAAAATTTTATTAATCAACAAACAAACAATAAAAGAAATAAAAAAAAGAAAAATAAATCAAATAAAAAACTAATAAATTAATAAATTAAAAGAGATTGTTAGTTCGTTATGTTTTTTTCAATTCATTTTTATATTCAAAAATATCACAATCCAAAACAAATAAACTGTTTTTACTTCAGGTAAAGAGTCAAATTTGAGAGATTAAGGCACTTTCCTAAACCTGAACCTAAGTTAGATGCACCCTAATTATCAATGTAGTTACTCCTTTTTAAATATAAAAGAAATAATATATATTTAGTTAGTTAGTTACATAGTGAGCTAGAAGAAAAAAATGAAGATAAAATGTAAAATTAAGAGAAATTAATAATTAATAATAAAAACAAAATTTGAAAATAAATGAGTAAAATTAATAGCTAACAAACAATAAAAGAAATAATAAAAAAGAAAAATAAATCAAATAAAAAACTAATAAGTAAAAAAATTAAAAGAGATTGTTAGTTAATTAGTTAGTTATATTGTTTTCAATTCATTTTTATATTCAAAAATATCACAACCCAAAACAAATAAACTGTTTTTACCTCAGGTTAAGTGTCAAATTTGAGAGATTAAGGCACTTTCCTAAACATGAACCTAAGTCTGATACACCCTAAGAAGAAATTTAGCAATAACTTTTTAAATATAAAAGAAATAATATATATTTAATTAGTTAGTTACTTAGTGAGCTAGAAGGAAAAAATGAAGATAAAATATGAAATAATGAGAAATTAATTTATTTATTAATAATAAAACCAAAAGTTAAAATAGAAATAATAAAAAATAAAAAAATCAAATAAAAAGCTAATAAGTTAATAAATTAAAAGATATTTTTAATTCATTAGTTAGTTAGTTAGTTAGTTAGTTATATTGTTTTCAATTCATTTTTATATTCAAAAATATCACAACCCAAAACAAATAAACTGTTTTTACCTCAGGTTAAGTGTCAAATTTGAGAGATTAAGGCACTTTCCTAAACCTGAACCTAAGTTTGATGCACCCTAATCACTAATTTAGTTTCCCCTTTTTAAATATAAAAGAAATAATATATATTTAGTTAGTTAGTTACTTAGTGAGATAGAAAGAAAAAATGAAGATAAAATATGAAATAATGAGAAATTAATTAATTAATAATAATAAAAGTAAAAGTTGAAAATGAAATAATAAAAAATAAAAAAAATAAAATAAAAAGCTAATAAGTTAATAAATTAAAAGAGATTGTTAGTTAGTTAATTAGTTAGTGAATCATATTGTTTTCAATTCATTTTTATATTCAAAAATATCACAACCCAAAACAAATAAACTGTTTTTACTCCATATAAAGTGTCAAATTTGAGAGATTAAGGCACTTTCCTAAACCTGAACCTAAGTCTGATGCACCCTAATCACTAATTTAGTTTCTCCTTTTTAAATATAAAAGAAATAATATATATTTAGTTAGTTAGTTACTTAGTGAGATAGAAAGAAAAAATGAAGATAAAATATGAAATAATGAGAAATTAATTAATTAATAATAATAGAAGCAAAAGTTGAAAATGAAATAATAAAAAATAAAAAAAATAAAATAAAAAGCTAATAAGTTAATAAATTAAAAGAGATTGTTAGTTAGTTAATTAGTTAGTTATATTGTTTTCAATTCATTTTTATATTCAAAAATATCACAACCCAAAACAAATAAACTGTTTTTACCTCAGGCTAAGTGTCAAATTTGAGAGATTAAGGCACTTTCCTAAACCTGAACCTAAGTCTGATGCACCCTAAGCACCAATTTAGTTCCAACTTTTTAAATGTAAAAGAAATAATATATATTTAGTTAGTTAGTTAGTTACTTAGTGAGATAGAAAGAAAAAATGAAGATAAAATATGAAATAATGAGAAATTAATTAATTAATAATAATAAAAGCAAAAGTTGAAAATGAAATAATAAAAAATAAAAAAAATAAAATAAAAAGCTAATAAGTTAATAAATTAAAAGAGATTGTTAGTTAGTTAATTAGTTAGTGAATCATATTGTTTTCAATTCATTTTTATATTCAAAAATATCACAACCCAAAACAAATAAACTGTTTTTACTCCATATAAAGTGTCAAATTTGAGAGATTAAGGCACTTTCCTAAACCTGAACCTAAGTCTGATGCACCCTAATCACTAATTTAAGAAGGGCTAAGCGGCTCGAGTGGGCGAGTCGGAGGGTCTTAGCAGTGATATCGGGGGTTCGAATCCTATACCGCCCCCTTTATTTCGAAAAATTCCATGTAAAAATGTGAATGTTACCAGCGGTCTCCTTGGTAGGAGGGAAGGGCCAAATCTGATAGGTGGTAAAGAGGAGGCCCCATTCTGAACAGAAGATCTGGAATACAAATGGAAAGCGAGCATAATGCGTAGTCAAATCATGGAAGATTAGTAGAAATGCCATTAGGGTGTAGGTGACCCTTCCCTTCTAGTATATTACCCACAATTATATATAAATAAATTGGTATACGTATAATAATAATGTATAAGTAATTATATATAGGGCCCCTATCCCGAGTGCATGTAACCATGTGCGAGTATGTATGTATGTATGTATCACTAATTTAGTTGCTCCTTTTTAAATATAAAAGAAATAATATATATTTAAATTATTACTTAGAAGGAAAAAATGAATGAAGATAAAATGTGAAATAATATGAAATTAATTTATTTATTAATAATGAAAGCAAAAGTTGAAAATTAAATAATAAAAAAAATAAAAATAGATAAAATATAATATATATGTAAATAAATAAATAAATTAATTAAAAGAGGTAGTTAGTTATATTGTTTTCAATTCATTTTTATATTCAAAAATATCTTAATCCAAAACAAATAAACTGTTATTACTCAAGATAAAGTGTCAAATTTGAGAGATTAGTGCAGTCTGCTAAAAGAAAACCTAAGACTTAAGCATCTTTATCATCAATTTTTATATTAATACATCTATGAAAAAATGTATAGTTAATTTGTTATTTGGAAGGGTAAAATGAAGTAAAAGTATGAAATAATAAGGAGTTAATTAGTAATTAAATAAAATATTTATTTAAATTAACAAATAAACAAAAAAAAATTACAAGCTGAATAAAAAAAGAAAAATAAATCAAATAAAAAAATTTTAAATAAATTAAAAGAGTTAATTAGTTTATTATTTAGTTATTATAATCAGATATAAATAAACTGTTTTTACGATAGTTTGAGTTCTAAATTTTAGAGATTAACTTTCTTTGCTAAATAAAAACCTAAATGTTAGGCATCTTATTAATTAATTTATTGTGTGCTTTTTAGATATTGAAGAATAAATTTATAGTTAACTAATTAGTTAGAAGGAAAAAATGAAAAAAAAAGAAATAAATTAACTAATAAAAAAATAAATAAATGTTAAAAACCAAAAAAATAAGTTAATTTATAAGAGTAAAAACAATAAAATATCAGAAAAAAAAATTATCTATAAAAGCTAATAAATAAATAAGTTAATTAAAAGTTATGTTGTTTTCTATTTATTATTATATTCAAAAATATCACAATCCAAAGCAAATAAATAAATAAACTGTTTTTACTCAAGATTAAGTGTAAAATTTGAGAGATTAGCACACTTTCCTAAATTATAGCCTAAGGCTAATTAGCCAATTGCTTTAACTTAATTTTTACTTTTTAAATATTGAAGAAAAAATAAATATAAAGCTAATTCGTTATTTAGAAGGAAAAAATGATTATAAAATATTATTTAAAAAAAATTAATTAATTAATAAAATCAAAAATAAAAATAAAAATAAAAATTGTAATGAGTTAAATTAATAAACAAACAACAAAAGAAATAAAAAGAAAACGAAAGCATAATAAAAAAAAGTAAAATAAACCAAATAAAAAGCTAATAAATTAATTAAAATAGTTAGTTAGTTGTATTCTTTTCAATTTATTTTTATATTCAAAATATCATAATCCAAAATAAACAAATAAATAAATAAACTGTTTTTACTTTAGATTAAGTTTCAAATTTTTGAGATTAACGCACTTTCTTAAACCAGAACCTAAGTATGATGCGCCTTAGACATCTATATTATTATCCCTTTTTAAATATTGAAGAAATAATTTATATTTAATTAGTTAGTTAGTTAATTAGAAGGAAAAAATAAAGTTAAAATGTGAAATAATAAGAAATTAATTAATTCATAATAAAAGCAAAAGCTCAAAATGAAAAAAGAGTATAATTAACAAAGGAAAAATGTAAAAATAAAAAATTTAAGATAAATAAAAAAAAATATAAATCAAATAAAAATATAATAAATAAATTATAATAATTAACTAGTTATATTTTTTTAATTCGTTTTTATATTCAAAAATATCACAATCCAAAACAAAACAAAACAAATAAACTGTTTTTACTCAAGATCAAGTGTCAAATTTTAGAGATTGGTGCACCTTCCTAAACTAAAACCTAAATCTTATGCACGTTTATAACCAATTGAATTTAGTCTTTTTAAAATATTGAAGAAAAAATATTTTGTTAATTAATTAATTAAAAGGAAAAAACAAACAAAAATGTGAAATAATAAGAAATAAGTGAATGAATGAATTAATTAATAATATAAACAAAAGTTGAAAATCAAAAAATAAGTTAAATTTACAAAGGAAAAAGCAAAAAAAAAAATAAATAAAATAAAAATCTAATAAATAATTTAAAATAATTAATTATATTTTTTTCAATTCATTTTTATATTCGAAAATATCACAATCTAAGACAAATAAACATTATTTTTACTTTAGATTAAGTGTCAAATCTTAGAGAATAGTACACATTCCTAAACCAAAACCTAAGCTTAATGGATTCTTGTCACCAATTTAATTTAGACTTTTTAAAATATTGATGAAAAAATATATTCATTAGTTATTGAAAAGGAGAAAATGAAGATAAAATATGAAATAGTAAAAATTAATTAATTAATAATAGCAAAAGTTAAAAATAAAAAAATGGTTTAAATTAACAAAAATGAATAAATAAATAAATAAATAAATAAATAAATAAATAAAAAGCTTCTTAATAAATTAAAAAAGTTAGATATAACTATTTTTACTCAAGATTAAGTGTCAAAATTGAAAGATTAGTGCAATTTTCTAAAGCAGAACCTAAGCCTTATACACCAGTTGCACCAATTTTATTATGACTTTTTAAATATTAAAGAAATAATAATTTGTTAATTAGTTAGTTAGAAGGAAAAAAAAATGTGAAATAATAAGAAATGAGTTAATTAATTAATTAATTAATAAAACAAAAAGTTGAAAATGAAAAAAATAGTTAAATTAAAAAGTGAATAAAGAAAGAAAGAAATTAAAAAACAACACAAAAAAAATATAATAAAAATAAAAAAGAAATAAATTAAATAAAAAGCTAATAAATAAATAAACTAAAGGAGTTAGTTATGTTTTTTACAATTCTTTTTTATATTCAAACAAAAACATCACATTCCAAAACAAATAAATTGTTTGTTTGTCTTACCCTAAATTAAGTGTCAAATTTTTGAGAAATATACACTTTCCTAAACCAGAACTTAAGTCTAATACACCTTCATCACCAATTTAATTGTTACTTTTAATATTTAAAAAATTGTACAAAATTAATTAGTTAGTTATTTAATTAGAAGGAAAAAGTGAAGATAAATGCGAAATAATAAGTTAATTAATTAATTAAAAAAAGCAAAAGTTGAAAATCAAAAAATGAGTTCAATTAAAAAAACAAACAAAGAAAGAAATTAAAAAAAACACAAATATAATAAAATAAAATAAAATGAAAATAAATTAAAACAAAATAAACTAATTTTACATTAGATTAAGTTTTAAATTTTAGAGATTAACACACTCCCCTAAACTAGAACCTAAGTCTGATGCACCTTAAGCACCAATTTTATTATACCTTTTTAAATATTGAAGAGATAGCATTAAATTAAATAGTTATCTAGAAGGAAAAAATTAAGATAAATAAAATATGAAATAAATTAATTAATTCATAAAAGCAAAAGCTGAAAATGAGAAAATTAATTAAATTAAAAAATAAGCAATAAGAGAAATTAATAAAAAAATACAAACAAAATAAAAAAGAAAATAAATAAAATAAAATAAAGAGCTAATAAATAAGTAAATTAAAAGAGTTAATTATTTTATTTTTTAATTCCTTTTTAAATTCAAAAATATCACAATTTAAAACAAATTAACTATTTTTACTCAAGATCAAGTGTAAAATTTGAGAGATTAGAGCAATTTCTGAAACCAGAACCTAAGTTTGACGCACCTAAAGCACCAATTTAATTGAATCTTTTTAAATATTTAAGAAATTATATATAGTTAGTTAGTTAGTTAGAAAAAAACAAAGAAAAAATGAAGATAAAGTGTGAAATAGTAAGAAATAAATCTATCAGCTAAACTTAGAAACAAACAAAGAAATTAAAAAAAAAAAAACACAC